AAATGACGACAGCCAAATAATTAGCAATGTATATGGTGTTTTTGCCACAGTGAAGATGTTTTGAGACAAGCATCCAGATAGTTGAGTTCAAGCTTTCGTTGTTGTTTTGTGTAAAAGCTCCGAGACATCGTTCCAATAAATCGTTTGATGTCAAATCCTCATAAATGGGCCTGATGACCTCCAAAACTGCATGGCTCAACGGTGGTTTATCATGTGTGAAACTATCCAATGTTCCTGCAGCTTCTGCTCTACGCCATGTGCACCAGCGCCCGGAGCCTTCAGGTCAGCCTTCATGATGTAGATCGCTATCGGTTGATTGTTTATGGTCAAATGTGGCCCACATAGCTTTCTTCATTTCTGGTACCGAACCTGCATTTCTGCGTATTGCTAAGCCGTAATACGTAGTAAGTTCATTGATGACTTTATCTGTCTGATACTGTCTTATACTGACTATTTGTAAGGGTACCCTGGGTATTGGACTGCAAGGGGGGCAAGGGATAGGGAAATTCCCCAAGCCGGTATACAATGGACACAACGGTCTAGGGGATGACTACCTGCCGCGTCCCAACGCACCGCAGCCTTTAAGCCTCTGTAACTATGGGAGCTCTACGAATTTCAAATTAATATTTTCGAGACACATTCTCAGAACCCGAAACTATAAGAAAATGCAAAAAAAATCGAATTTTTTAAGTTTCTAGACATATTTTTGGTTATTATAATTTGTATGACTTCCGCGTGAGTTAGTCGCCAGGAAGGGCGGTAGCTGTGTTGCTTTCTTTTGCGTGAACCTCGCGCGACCTTTCCGCGAGTCACAGCGAAGCCGACGTCAGAAAACAGTTTTCGAGACCCTACTCGGAAATGATTCACCACGCGTGTATATTGCGAGGTATTAGTACTTTACCAGATTTCCTCAAATTATTAGAAGCCTTTGATCAGGTAGGGTCCGCGCGGTCGCAAGGGTACCGGGAGAGAGAAACGTCGAAATGACCGACAGCGACCTACACGAGATAAGAACACGCCCCGTCGACGAACTACCATAGGGATAAAGCTCGCGCGAAATATGACACCGAACGGAAGCGCTTTCCGACAACTCACCAGGACTCACGAATTAACACGTTACAGGCCAGCAAAAGGAGCGAAGACGTCCGAAGCGACCGCCACAAAGAAGAAACCCAATCCTGGCAGAGGTCGGGAAACGAATAAACATTGCATCGGGACAAAAAATACAAACATAGGACTCCGAATTGCTGACGCAACGTGACAAAAAAAGTAAGAGTTCAGCCCATATTTAAAACATACCAAAACAAACATGCCAAAGTCCACCCCGTAGGAAACAACTAATGCCAAGGAAAATTGCAGTATTTTAGCTGGCGACATGCGCGAAGAGTTATCGAAAGAAACAGAAACACAGTCAGAAGATAAAAAAAAAGTAGTTAAACTTAAAGGAACCGGGTAAACCAGTGATATCGCGGGATGTTAACCGACAAATTCAAACTATAAGTTTACTTATCAACATAACTTGGCAGGACAGAACACATCGACTTTGATAATGTTACGAGGTTACCCGATTTTCCTCAAAATAGAGAGGCGCGCATTCTACTAAGTATGAATCAGTTACCGGAAGATAGATATCGAATCCAAAGCAACGATAGTATCCTCTGATTAAACCGGAAAAATAATAACGAGTGGAATAATCATCGAGGAATGTTTTGGCTTATTCACACGCCTTCCGCTCCGAACTGCACTCTGGACCAAAACATGGAACCTACTCTTCCGTCAACATAGTGACTTCCTGAGCACGTCCGATCAAGCTTCTAACAAGAAAATCCAAAAACAAGGAAATTGGACCCTGTCCTCACGGGCATCTCAAGGATAAGATCTCGTATAAAAACGGCACCGAAAAAGAGCAGCGAACTGTGTGTGTAAAGCAGCAGTCTAAAGCGGGCAGTCAAAGAGACCACTCTCTCAGGAGCGAGGCTGGGGCTCTCTGAAGAGCTGACCGTACTGTAGTAACAGTTGTGCGTTTCGGTACGCCGACATCCTCGAGCCAACGGTGAGAAGAACGACGGTGCTGCGAATTCCGAACCAGCGGGAGAATCTTAGGAAGCTTCAGCCCTAGGGCACGCCCCGGTTTGAAGGCGTTCACGTGCAGTACATCGCAACCGGCAGGACGTAGGAGAGACGTCACCGGAAGTAAAGGCCTCTGCGAAGCCAAGGTACAGGTCCTCTTCTAACAGCTCCACTCTTTCATCACTCTATTTCGAACCCTATTCCAAATAACTAACCCGCAACAGAATTCGGTATTCACTTTCCGGTAACGACTACCAAATTCTAACTTCTCAAGTATAAATCGTAACTCATTAGCCGCCCTTGCTGTGTAAGGCAAAGCACACCTTGCAAGCAAAGAATCTCGCGTTAGCATTCCGCAATTGATACGCGGACATATCGTTACACTTCCGCAAGCCGGTAGCGCGCGGCCTCCAACGTCTTTGTCTCGTCTCGCGACGATCCGCTTAGCACAGTATATCTTTTGCGCACCTTACCCCCATGGACATTGTACCCCTGGCATTATAAATATAACTGCTTCATTCAATATAAAACGACGACTTGATTCTCACGAAACCTTAAAACTCTCCTGTGCCCTCACTGCAACTTTCCAACACCCTTTGAGGACCAAATAACCTATCGATCCCAACAAAGAGGTTGACCTAGTCGATCAGGTTATCCTCTCCATATCTCTCAAATAATAACCTGGTTACGCGTGCGTACGAGTTAATTTCTCTACAAACAGTATACCGCTCGGAGGAATCTGCAAAATTCCCCCGGCCTCGCTAGTCACTCGGCCGCCACGTAACACCGACATACGTAGGACATGGGTAATTAGAATGGCGTAAGAGTAGGGAGTCCTCAGGAGAGGAAAGCGCGGCTCGCGAGAGAGCAGTCTTACTCTTGGATATCGATCGTGAAACGATCAATGACGATCCTCTTTTATATCGTCCGCGACGCGAAGAAGCACAATTGCGCTTGGAATCAGTTTCGTTTTGGAGTTCTCGAAAACCGCGGAAATAACTTCGTTGGGAGACTGCTCGTTCCTCGATGACCGAGCCGAACAGTCATCTAAACGAAGAAGTTCGGTAGAGGTCTGTTCAAACTCGATGACCGAGCATTGCCGCTCACGATTCGAGTGCGGACAAAACATCTCGACAAAAACGAATGAGTTTTAATATAATTATTTTCAGATCCCGTGTTCCAGTGGGCCTGGCATAGCGACCACACCCACATCCTAGTTCACGAAAATCTTACACAAAAATTCTACCTTCGTGTCCTCCAAATCGCACGTTGCGATTGAAATCGGAGTGCCTATTCCACAAAACCTTAACCCAGCCAATATCCGCGGCTGGATAACATAGTTTAAGCGGTACTAAAACCCTGAGGAGATAACTCCGGAAGCCACATAAACCCGCGGTTGATTTTAGTCCGCGAGCCCAAATTGATTAGAGAAGATTATTTCAAGTAAGGCTGTCCAGCCACCCGAATTAGATCCCAATTTCTCATCTCAGTTGTAAATTAACAACTCTGTATATCGATCATACCAGCGGCCGAGTTTCAAATCAAACGTGTCGGTAAGAATTCGAGACGTGAGGAAAGGAAAACGCGGAGACACGCGAGGACGGTTATTAAGTCCGATTTGAATCCTACCCCAAACCACATTATCCAAATAACCTTTACTTCACATGTTTCCATATTCCTTTGTCGATTCGATGATGAACAAATAGAACGCACCGTTGATGGAATAAGTCGTTCTCACTGAGAATCATTTCCTTTTCCTTTCCTCTCCCGGTCAGAGCACGTGAGTCAGGGAAAACCCCCTTAAGCCAATTAGGCCAGCAGCTAATTAAATTAAAGAGGCCGGAAACTCCAAAACCTTCCCAGAAATTTAAATCGCCAAATTCTACTGTAGACCGGACGACACCGGAGCGCTTAGAGCCTTAGAAAAACTCGATCGAACCGGCTCTCGCGGACAGGCCCCCCGAAATCCGGAATATTGACGCGCTCGGCTGATCCCTCGCTCTCCCGCCAGTCTCTTTTTCTTTCATATATTAGAATTTAAATTAATTTCGGTCTCAGGCGTCACGAGGTTCGAACCCTCAAAGGATGCAGTTTTTCGGTGCATAGGCACGGACCAAAACTACATACGATTACACTCATTACTACATTCATTACTACTATACACTCAATTATTACTTCATTGTCCCCATAACCGACATTCAAATGTCAGCATTTATAGTTTGATATTATATTATCAGCATTCTTCCGAAAACATAATTTAATCGAAGCTCTTATAACATTATAATAACTGAATTAGTCATTCCATTTACCCGTGTTCGGTCGAGTTTCTCAAGAAACTTGTGAAATTACGCATTCGATTAAACTTTTCTTCCCGATTATTTCATTTTCGTAACTACACGACAATTCATAATTTTATATACCCATACTGTTAAGAAAAAGTAGGCGTATCCTAAGGATGTTTATGTGCGATTATCAATTTCGAGTGCGGTGCTACCCACATCGTCGCATGCGGAATAGGCTCAAGGATGCCGTTTTCATTCTCGTACGGGAAATCGCGCGCGCCATCTAGGATTGTAGTCTCAAGAAGTCGTTCCCAGACGTGGTCGGCAAAGACGCGTCAGCCGTTGAACGTGAGTGTTCACGTTATCGAGCACGATATTCTCATCACCTCGATATTCCAATAATTAGTGTGTAAACATTGCAATTATCTACTGCATTTACACGTGTTACCTTACACCGGTTTTATAACCAATGTTATAGCTACTGATGTTAAGCATCGTATAAACGCTGGTTTACACCATTGTTACGAGTAAAACCGGAGTAAAACAACGTTTATACGAGATTTAACATCAGTAGTTATAAAACTGTTACATGGTAGCACTTGTAAATACACTCATTGCTTACTAGTTACAGTAAATAAGAAATTGTTCTTATTCAAATATTTACAATTATTTTGATTCAAACATTTGAACACATACAAAGTATAAAATAATACATTTTACATTCAGAATGTCATAGCGATTTGTTATTCCTGTGAAAATTCTCTGTATTATGACAAGCCTTGAATTTTTATTAGACAGCATGTAACAGAATTCGTAGCGACCTGGTTTACACATCGTTATCCTTATTGAAAATAGAGTCAAAAAGACCTGTACAATTTTTTTTCTTACAATGCAGTTTACATTTTATTAATGAATTGAAAATGTTTGTGGCGTAGGTGCAAAACAACTCACGACGTGCTCTCCGATTCGCGTTCCGCTAATCGACGCGCCTGACTGAGTATTTTTAATGAATGAATGGCAAAACTATGCACCATAGGAACAAAATTATACAAGACTTTTTAATTCCATTTTCAACAAAGATAACTGTACGTAAATAGTGACCACTAATTCTGTTATACCCTGTACAATTAATTAGTGCATGTTAACTGCGTGTTTATTATAGATTGATTTGTATGAAATCTTAAATCTCGAATTTACATTCGCAATGAAACTCTATATCGGACCATCAAAACGTCAAATAAACATGTATACATTAAGATTTAAAAGTATTATTTCACCCACCTTTCAACAGCATACTGATTTTTATCAAGTTCATAAAGGCCACAAGGTGATGACTCATTTTCATGTCATAAATGACAAATTGTAATGTAGCATATGATTTTGGCCACTTGACCAAGGAATAATGACCATGAACCACTGTAGTCTAATACTGGTTACTGCTAGTCTAATTAATAATATTACCTGCTTAGCAATATCGTCATGTACTTGAAGGCCTCCCAGTTGTTGGCAAAGGTCAGTACCATTACTGTCAGTAGCAGTTGTAGCCGTCGACCAAGCAGTTGATGTTTGATTTCTCTGGTGTTGCCTTTCTTCTTCTAGCATTGCTTCTAAACACTCTTCCATTAGCTCTTCCTCTTCAAGCTGTTGGAGAACCTTCAGAGAAAAGATATCATTTTTTTTTTTTTATTGTAAAAGCATCTTTATTATCATCGTGCCTTCATATTAATTACTTCTTTGCATTCGATGCTTTTGTCATTTGAGTAGAGACTAAGAGCCATTTCTCAAGGTCAAAAAGTAAAAAGTTTCTTTGAAATAAACTTACAAAGTTATTATTTTTATATTACATCATTTATCCATTATTTGGCTAACATGTACCTGTTTATCAAATTCCTCCTCATTTTCCATCCACATGTATTCTGAAAAATCATTATCCCCAGCAGCTTGGACATCGGTGTCTGCTTCCACATTATCGAGATACGAAATTACTCCATTTTCATGACCGTAATATCCATTACCTGATCCACTGTTAGGGATCTTCATTTTCATATCAATTTTGGTCTCAATCCTGGGACAGTTTTCAGATTACTCCTGTGGAAAATCAGAAAATTAAAATGAATAATCATTTACTTAAAGCTTAAAATGCATGACTTTCACATTACATATACAGGGTATTACATAAATGGTGGACACGGTTTATACAACGCTATTCTTATTGAAAAAGGAGTCGAAAAATCCAGTACTATTTTCCCCTACGGTGCATAATTTTCCTGTAATAATTATTTGAAGCACAGTCAATCCATCGCATCGCCCAACGGAACGCAAAGCGAAGAGGACGTCGGCACGGCTGTGTTCGGCTGTGTTCGGCAGTGTTCGGCAGTGTTCGGCAGTGTTCGGCTGTCTGCGGCGTAACAGCCTTATCGGCGTCCTCTCCGCTATCTGTTCCGTGGAGGAACGCGATTGAATGGCTGTGCTTCAGGTAGTTATTACAGAAAAATTATGCACTGTAGGAAGGAATAGTACTGGACTTTTCGACTCCTTTTTCAACAAGGATGGCGCTGTATAAATCGTGTCCACCATTTTTGTTATACCCTGTATAACATTGACATGAACCACGAGACCCGGTCGAGTCTCGCGCTGAGTACAGGCCGACCCAATAGGACTCTTTTCCTAGAAGCAGCTCCTCCACTGTGCGCGTCTTATGAGCCATATACCTTTCTTATGTGCCTGAACTATTTTCCCTCAAGTGTTACATATTCTGCTCGGAAACCAATACGTAATGCGTAATTTTTCTTCAGGACATTCCGCTGATTGTATTTATACCAATTTTATATAGTCTGAATTATTGGCTATAGAGATGTTAAAGATTATTTGCGATAACCTGTATACAACCGCGTTTCATTCAAATACGTCATCATCGCACCTACGTTACCTTTTTTAAACAAATAATGCCGCTAATGGAGCACATATTGTGACGGCACCCTATAACACAAATATATCCAAAGTGCCACATCTTCATGGGCCTCAATTTGCCCAGCAATTATGCGCATACCGCCTACCCAAAGAGTCTCGGGTTCGGATCCCGTTCACACCTAAGATAGAATTTTTTGTATCTAAGGCAGGGTTTACCCGGCTTGCTTTACTGAAGAGTTCACAGCCATATTCGGGACGAAACACAAAACCATTAGAAAAATCCCTTTCGGTCCGTACACGCGTTAAAAATCCAACCTCTTCTCTTCTGTCGTTCCGTGGAACGGCTCGCACTACCGCCATTGTCATAAACAATACCAACCACGCCCTCGCCAACCTATAAATTGTGACGTGGTAAACTCTTAGCCCGTCACTGGGGAGGTTACCGATGCCGGAGTGAGGAAGGGCCCTCTGGCGATCACTAGGCTAAGTTTTAATTGTACAATAAACCATGGTAAAAATGCGAAGGTCTCATAGCCGTGCGCAGGTGTGACGCGCATCGGCGCGCAGCGACCCGCGACTTTTGATTCTTCCAAGCTCGCGGAACATGCGCGGGGCCCCGAATTATAGGGCCCTGCTGCCATCCATCGGCGGCCGCCCTACTTAGGCGGCCTAGGGACCTATTTAGGCAAGGCTAAATGGCAGGCCAGCGCCCACCAAGAAGTTCCGGAGGGTCCGCCAGGAAAACGACAGCACTGGACGAGAGATCTTCCGGCGGGATCCTAATTGCCAGAGGGACCACCGCACCGGGAACAGCTGGGATCCCGCACTCCCGTCCGCGGCAGCATCATCGTTCCCGTCGCGAAGGGCGTCTTGTCGTCCGAAGCAGCCGCGCTGCCGCTTCCCAACCCGTAGTCGAATGCAAACTGTAGCGGTGAGCCGAACCTGCCCAGGGGGGCCTCTATACCGCCATATTGTCCGCTCCATGAGCCGGGGTTCCGAATTCGTCCTTGGTCGCAATAACTTGTTTCCGTTAGCGAACGTCCCGCTTTCGGGGGGAATGCGCCCCGAATTTAGATCACCGAATCAAGATAGAATACCGCCGTTTCGTGCCCGTGCCGCCGAGGGCCCTTCTGCAGTGTTCAAGCTTGTCCCCGCCCCTTAGCGAAGGGCGGTGGCGATCCCCGTCGGGTGGCGTTCCGCGTTCAATCCGGAAAGTGTCGGGAGAAGTTTCTCGCGCGCCCCTCACGGTTTTCGTAATTGGCATGTTCTTCCCGGCGGTAGTGTTTGGGGAAATTTCCGCGGCCCGGGCGCGCGAGGGCGTAGGGGCCATACCGTCTCGTACCGCTGCGCAGTTACCGGACGCCGGGCCCTTTTCGAAACCCTGAGAGGCAGATTAGGTTCTCCTGACCGGGCGTTGTGCCCCTGTGGGCCCCCACCGGGGGGTTACCAACCCCGGCGCGTTCTCCTTGCGTTTTTATTATCCAGTTGCTACCCTGTCCAGTGCGACAAGGTCCCCTAGTCTAGTAAGCGTGTTCCGCGGACGCACCTGTACGCCAAGATCGTGGAAGGCCCGAAATAAAGACAATCCCGGCGAGATTTTTCGCATACGAGGTTGTTCTCTTTTAAACCTTTAATTCTTGTCCCGGACTCCGAACTGACTCCCCCTCGCTCCTCTGGGAACCGTAACGAACCCCCCCCCAGCTCTACCGTGCCGCGAAGGGCGTGAGGTCCTCGCGGAGCTGAGTAGCCGGTCGGTTACACCCAGGTTGGCCCTAATCTACGGGCCGGGTCTGCGCGCTTGTACTGCCGGGCCCCGGAAGCCCGCGCGCGCCTGGCGCTCCGAAAAATAAATCGGGCATACCGGAAGGGCCAAATATCGGGCTCGACTCCTTTCTTTAACTACCCCCAGGTAAAGGACGATTTTACGAGCAGGGAGTAGAAAATCCCGACGCAACGTATATGGTTGTCTCTGTCAGTACGCACGTCGGTCAGGACACGGCGCGACGGTGCCGTTCTCTCTACAAGATGTCCCGCGCGGGAGCACCTTCCCCTTATCTCATATCCACACCATTTATTCCCTAACCGCGAGGCGACAGTCAAATGCAAACGTATTGCAAGGTGACCGACGGTAACAGAAGAGGTTATGTTTCTTAAGATATAATATAATGGAAATAAGATAACATCTAATCATATTTCAAGGAGAAGTGAAATGGCCGACATAAATCAGATTAGATAAGTTATTTTGATTAAACGTTAAATATTAAAATATTATGAAAACAAAGGGTAGTTGGTGAACAATTTATTTTGTTACAGGTGAAGCAAAGGAATATTAATTACGCAACTGAAAGTCAGTAAACAGTTTTTACAAAACATATTTTTGTTATTGCAATTTATGTTGAATACGTAAACATTATTTACATGAATTAACACGAAAAATATTTCTTATATAGACACAACCTACTTCTGTTTCCCGTATTTTCGTCATTTTTATCAATCTCTTTACAACAAGTCTCGCAACTCATAATCATCATCAACTGCGAGTTTGGAGTCTTTGGTTCTCAGTTCTCAGTTCTTAGCGAGTCTAAGACCGAAACCATCGAACTCGGAGGATCAACTACACCTCGAGCTACAGTTGGGCTGCTCGGTACTCCGGCGATTCAAGAGCATCAAGCCAGGAAGGGACGGCGGCATTACTACATCCGTTGGACGGGAGGCTTCTAGAAGACCTCCAACCCTAGGGCACGTCACGGGCGGAAAGTGTTCACGCACAGTCATCCGATTGATCGACCTAAGGAGGACGTCACTGAATTTGACCGCTGATTAAACCAGGTACAGGTCCTTTCGCAAGCTCGGGTCACTTTCATTCTCTATCTTAACCTCATCTTTCATCCTAACAAAGATTACGCGAATTCCATGCCTAGCTTCGGATAACCGGATAGATTGTCCTTTTTACACCTTCGAACAAACATTTTAATATTTCGCATTGCCCTAAAATCACGCGAACCTCATCAACGTTAGTATATTAAGCATCCAGTGACCTACTGCCACTGACCGCTTTATGGCGTTACCCGAAGCTCCGCAACGCGGAACGAAATCGTAACCGTAAGCATTAGACTCGAGGACCCCGACGGATCCCTCAGACTTGTAGAAATTCCACCTGACAAGAGACAAATACAGTCATCCTCGTCAACTTATTGACAACCTCCATTTATTGAGCCCTCTTCAGCTCCTCATTCCTATAAATCCCACCAGAGGACCATCTCCTCGCAACAATATCTAATTCGTTACGTAGACGTACGAGGTAAAACCTCTTTAGGCAAAACCAAATATTTCCCCTCCCTCGCAAACCCCTCGGCCGCCACATAACAAGAGTTTAGATATTTCAAGAAAACGAAAAACATAAATAAGGCAGTTTGTCTTTAGGGGTTCGTGTACATTCACGAATCAAGAGAACACAGTAACGTCTGTCAAGTTTATTGGCGTCGACTGAGCGCTACCCTCTTTTACGCTAAACATCGTTTAATCGAGCATTTCATTTTTCATTAAACACCCAATATTCCCTTCGTCATACTTCACCAGATTCTTAGCAGGTCTCGTTCTTAACCCTTTGCACTCGAGAGGTGACTCTCGATCACCATGTGGTTTGATGCGGAAACCCGATCGGCAACAAGGTGTGTGTGTGTGTGTGTGTGTGTATATATATGTTTGTATAATTTGACGAAGTGTAGAATGATACTCCTTGCAATTTAACTGGGGTGATCCTAACAAATAGGAAGGAGTTGCCATGTCTAATAAAAAAAAAATGCCACAAGAAATCCACGGTAACATACCGCAAATGTAGTACTTTAGTTCTAGCATGGAAAGACAAAAGGATCGTTACATCTTTGACCACTTGGAATAATCCGAGAATAACTCCCGTAAAAAGGTTTTTTCGAGGTGGTGATCAAGTTACTATCAAAAAAACCAATGTTATCATAAACTATATAAAATATATGGACAGTGTTAATCGAAAGGACCAATATGCCTCGACATACTGTTTTCTAAGAAAGTCCTTGAAATTATGGTTTAAGCTTTTTTTGGGGGGGTTTAGAGATTAATTCAGTTAACTCTTATATTCAATAAAAAAAAAAAAAAAAAACTGAGAAACGAACAGCCGCTTAGTTATCTGCAGGTTGGAAAGAACTTTGATTGACCAATTGGGAGGAGATTTCCGCCAAACTCATCATCTACTCTGACCTCTAGTTTCGACGAAATTCGATCAAATGGAAAGCTACATGTCATTCTAACAGGAGTTACGAAAGATTGCAAGCCCGACGAAAGACATCAAACAACATATTACTGCAATAATAGCCCCAACAGGCCGAGGATGCATCTTGGCGATTGTCTTATAAAATACCATACAAAGCAACAATACAGTCCTTAATATTTAACAAATTTTCTTCTTTCACACGTAAGAATACATAAAATATTGAAATATAATAGTTTTATGCGTTAATTTGTATGTGGTCATTTTAGGTTAACTATATGAAATTCACCAAGTATGCGGAAAATCGTCTCAAGTTGCTGGTTCGTCCGAGCGAAAAAGGACGGGAATGCAATGAATTAATTTCTTCCCTTCCATTAGAGACTAAAATCGTTGTAATCCGTAAAGGCGTTCATATCAAACAAACGAAAACCAATTCAAAGTTCTTTAAAAGTATTTCACCTTCCATTAAAAGCTAAAGATCCAAAAGGACCTCGTCCCGATTTCTGTGAGTTCTAGGCCATGAGCGAACAGCTTTTACTTATGTATCAATATACAGGGAATAATAAAAATGGTCATCTTGGTTTAGCCAGAGAGAGCGCTGTCTAAACCGTGAGCACCATTTCTGTTACACCCTGATAGAGGAAGGTAAGTGTAACGATAATATCAGGTTCCCAAGTTATTACGTCGTCTGTGCGGGAATAAAATAGGAGGTCAAGTATACTATAATAATTTGAGATCTAGTTTGCAAAATTCCAAGTTTTTGAAAAAACCATGTATTTAATGCACAGCTTGTCTCGAACGTTTCATGTGCTCAGGAAATCTCACAAATGATGATAACTAAAATAAATCAGTGGAATATCTTGGGAACAATTGTCAAAGAAACTAATTTCAATTGTAAATTGAAACAATTTGATTGCATCAATGAAGAACTACTGAAATTCCCGATTCTATGAAAACGGGATCTCTATTTAATAACTGTTGGACGATACCAAATAAACTAAGCAAAATTATATTACAGTAAAAATGTTGCCACTGATGGACGATTTAAAAATGAACTTTATAACGATGTTCAAGCCATCGATTTTGCTTCCTCTGGGCTAATAATTGTTACCCCTTCGTTTTTGAAAGCTAGGATACAATCCAGGTATCTCAACAAAATTAAATATTACATTTACATATTGGTTGAAAGAAATACCGAAGGAAAGGATACCATACATGCTTACTACTATACTTGCGAAAACAAAGCTAGGACTGCTGTATAACTACCATAATATAGTATTTAGGTTATGGTCGGCACCTCGGCGGATCTATAGAAGTACTGTCTGAACATACAGGAAACATTTTTAAAACATTCAATATCTCCGATGACGAGCCTACAGAGTGTTAAATTCATTTTTCGACTCCCTGTATATCTTAGTGCATATGATGAATTGACTTAAACTTTTTTTTATGAATGTACCGGAGCAGACCTACACACTGATATCTAACTCATTACTGTTCGCCACATGACACAGTTCAGAACAAGGTTCTTTATCATTTTTCAATATACCTACTGCAAAGAATTAAGGTGGTACAACCCCTATGTATGTAAAATTATTTTCATAAATTAAAACACTTGTACCTTTAATACTACGTTTTTAGAAGTATTATTATTAAGGAAATATATCTTCGATCATGTAAAATACATAAATTTATGTGTATTTTAAGCATATAGGAACAGTTAACTTTTTGAAATGAGTGGTACTTTTTAACAAATTAATGTTTGACTAACATATACTAACATAATTATAATTGGAATTGAGTTTCTACTCAAATTCAATTGGCCACTTTCAGTGAAAATTCTATTTCTCAAGTACTTATTTGAAAACTGCGACAGGTGGTTTCACCCTCTTAATATGAAATGCGGCAGCTGGGAAACAATATGTGTTCCTTATTTTTCAATATTCTATAATATATTTGAAAATGAATCATATTGGAAGCAGACCCTTGGACATATTTCCTTGTTAGAACATACATGCCATTTTTTTTTACAATGAATGCAGTTAACAGACTCAAATGTTGCGAACCCTGAGGATTATTTTTTATTGATCGCTATTAAAAAAAACATACATACATACATGTATATATAAAGCTTATGGAATGGTTACTTTAAGAAATATACGTATGCAAATGTGTGTATTTGGCATGAAACTCGACCGAGTTTCCTGATAGTATTAGCTAGTCAGTTTTCACCAGTAAGACCAAATTCCATTTTTATTCAATTTAATGAGAGCTCAAATTACCAATAAAAATGTTACTCTCAAATAACTTTTCTGATAGCAGACTTTGTCAAATTAAATTTTAAAACAATCGTTCTTATATCGATGCTTACCGAGTTAATTTGTTTTATCCATGCAGATGTCTCTAGGGAATGTCAACCAAAAACTGTTCTTGCCGCCAACAATAATCTTATTAAATTTTAGGTACACTAACCAAATCAAAGTTTTTCTCTTTTTTAATATCTTGTTATTTTGTACACTTGAACAATTAAATGTATCCAACATAGACATAAAATTGATAAAAAAATTAGTATTATGAGTATAGATATTTATTGCCCTAATATTATAAAGCAGTAAAGATTGAATAATGTATTTGAAATCATTTTAATACAGATACTCTACATTTTAGTTTTATGCATCAATGTCCTAACACATGTGAGATTTCATATTGAAATATTAAGGTTATTAAATTGTAATAATCAGAACATGAAACGATAAAGACAAGAGGTCTATATATAATCTGAATTTTAGATTGTACATAGCCTTCATATAAACATTTAATCTGCAGTGAACGCTATTTTAATAATTTATTAGATGAAGAGTAACGAGATATCATATGTTAATTGAAACTATGTTTGAACTCTTACAGCATTTTCCAATAACCTTAGTTCATTAAAATATACTTATATTAACTTCTATTAACTTATATTAATACGTTGTTGACTCGTCATGAATCAACTCGTGCCGAAACGACTAGCTTTGCAAAATTGCCAGTCAATGTGTTAGGCAACATTAAGACACAACAATATTTCTCTTTACTTTCAAAATATAATTTCAAACATTAAAGTAAAGTTAACCATTAAAGGGTTACAGATCTTATCTTCTCCTAAAGAAATAATGAATCTCCTTAATATTACTTAAAAGGGTAGTAACACATTCAAAAATAAATAAGATATGAAATCAGCTATATAAATGTATATTCAGGATATCTCGGATATCTGAATTTAATTCTGAAAAAGAATGTCTAATGCAAACCTGAATCCATATTGTAGTTCCAAAACTACAATAGTTTACAGTTGACCATTCACCAAGCAGGATTAGTCGTTGAATAGTGCCAGTATAAACATTTTACTTCTCCTGTCATCTTGAAGTAAAACTCAAATTTCAATTTGAAATAAATTTGTTTTTTATTTTACGGCTCACTTATCGTTTAATTTGAGGCTTTTCTTGCTTATGATTTATGATGCTAAATACAATTTTGAATGCAACATGAATATTTAATTCCTTTTTTTAATCGTTACTTCCCTGATTCTATCAGCTCGCATCCAGTTTCTCTTCTATCATGATAAAATGCAAGAATCTCACAAATTATGCACTTTTTTGTTAACAACAAAGGACTGTATGTAAACAGTGACAAAGGTAACGAAACACTTTAACTAGCACTGTTTGGCAACTAAACCTGCTTCGTAATTGGTTAACTTTAAACTACGGTACTTTTGAAACTACAATTCGGATTTAAGTTTGCATGAGATATTCTTCTTCGGAAATAAATAAAGATCCTCGTGAAACATTTCTTGTCAGCAAAGGTTGTCAGAAACACCTTGTGTGTATATATATATAAATAAACATAGTTTTATTTATATAAATCAATAACTAATACAAATGAGAAAGTTGCACAGGAGCAAAGTTTGTAAGTAAATTAGGAACATTCCGATATATCTAGAAACTACTACAATCTGAACATCGATATTAAATTCGTAATATGGGCTACCGACAAATCTGCAACCAAAGTGCACGAATAAATCACTGGTAAAATTCAACCTTGGAACTTTTGAATGTCCTATATTATCTTGAAGTAGCAAAAAAAACTGTTCAAAAGTCATTGAATTCAATGTACCAAAACGTACATATGGATTGAATTTGAGTGATGTTTGTAACCCCTTGATGCTGACTCGCGGATTGTAATTACCTTCAATTTAGCGTCGAAAAATGAGGATAACAGACAATTTTGTCACGGTGCTTCCTATCGATTCATGTTAGTCGTCAAAACGTTGTGAAACTACCTGACAGATCATTGAGGAAGCAATCTGATCCACAGTGAACGAAGAGAGTAAGGAGTACAATATTCTTACCACTGAATAGTAGAAATACGTTGCACACATACACCACCAGTTGTACCTTCGCTCAAAGAAAAAAACTTAAAGGGAAATTCACACGTACCTTTTACCACAAATCCCTTCAAGACGATTTTGAGGTATAAAACACGATTTACGCAGTTAATAAGTCAAATATGTATCGCAAACCATAAATTAGTAGTTGGGCCGATGCTTTATGGTGCTGCCACCTGCTGCCGCCGCCATTTCATCAGGGGACAGAAGCACGTTTACTACTTTGACTATGACCCAATTCCACAATTTGCGTTAACCGAAGTTTAAATGGTTTACATCCAGGGTCAACTTCCTGAAAAACAATTAAAATATGATTAAATAGGGTTAAACTTGTCTTCTACCACGATTAAAACAAGTGTAGACAAGTTAAGCTTGCTCTAAACCAATTAAACTCTAGTTAACCGATGTTAACGGCCCAGTTCCATAACTAAAGTTAACAGAAGTGCAGTCGGTTTACAGCAGATTGAAACGGGTGTAGACAAATTAAACATCAGTTACATTAATTTGTGGACACAGGCTTAATTCATGCGCGGTGTACACTGGACTCCATCGATGGTTTCCGCCAGGTCCGCACTGCTCTCTCCGGTCGCACAGCGTACCAGCGGCGGGAGCAGCGCGGAATTTGAATCGCTCGAGGGGCAGAATGGATTCCCTAAAGAAAATTAATATTTATAAACAAAAGCAATTAATGAAAATTATTTTAGTATTATTGTGGAGCGTCCCTGACCCACGTAACGTAGTTTTTGTTAAATGATAATTTACAGAATTTTATAAAGAATATAATAGAACATGTTCTATTAAATGTTAACAAGTTTCTTAGCGATTCAATTGTTCCATCCACTGAACCGAAGTTAGAATATTATCTTAGCTTAAAAGAAATAGTTTCTAAATATATATACAGTGAAACACCGTCGGAAAATTTACGAAGCATCAACTATCGGACATAGAAACGAAATCGTGATTTCATGCCTCTTATATATTTACGTTCTACACCATTCTTCGTATTCCTCGAGTAAATGGACACCTGTAAATCATTAAATGAGCATGTAAATGAGCACCCGTAAACATAAGAAAGACTTTTCTTATCCGAGTTTTTTATAAACGCAAATCAGAGTAACTCTTATGAATTGATTTCATTCGAAATAGGTATCCAAAACGTAAAACACCATTTCTATTTCGTATTTGAAATAAGAACAATAAACTATTTTGGATTTCCAATTTTAAATAGATTTTGAATCTATTTCCGTTTGAAATTAAATACTTCCAGAGAAATGAGAATATTAGAAAAGAATCGATGAGAATGATACGTGTTCTATCAACTGAATCAACTTACGAGAAAGTTAAACAACACGCGGAAGTCGAAATAGCCACATTGGCAAAAACAAATGAAATTAAATTATTTATTTGCATTTTAAATACAAATACAAAATCATAAAATTACGTGTCCGAAAAAGGCATGGACAACGAAGAGTTAACATTACGACTAGATGGCACAGTTAATTCGAGACGACATTTCACGTAGAAGAATTGATCCTCCTTTCCCTCTGTCAATCACTTGATCGCGGTCGTCGCAAAATTACAATCCACCTTGCGAGCCATGAAAGGAAGAGACGATAAGGCCTGCGGGTGAACGAGTCCAAGCGAGAACGCTGTTCCGGAAGGAACGAGGCCGTAGCCCGGAGTAGAAAGAGGGTCTTCATCGCCGGCGCGAAAACATTGACAATAATCCGTTTATCGGGGAACCGACATCGAGACCCTCGCAGCAGGGGGTGAAAAGCCCGAGACCGTTGTTTTGAGAGTGGTATTGGAAGCACGAGGCCATTACAACCCGTAGGAGCAAACGTGAGCGCCACGCCCCTCGAGCCCCTAGTCAGCGGCCGAGTCATGCCGGCCACGCCAACGCGAAAGCGGTATCTGGTCAGCGTCCGGACACATAAGGCTGTCCTGTTCTATGAAACGGATAGCGCATCAAATAGGCTATCTCACTCGGACACACGGCCTCTAGGGCGGATATAGAGAGACACAAGTATGCGGTCCCCTTACCGCACCGACCCTCAGTCGTCGTGCTACCGCCACTATTGAGTGTGGACGGACTCGAACGCTTTTCGTGTGACTCACCCCCCCTCCTGCCCTTTTCCGCCCATGTGTCACGTTTGTCAGACAATTGATATATCGAAATATTGGCCATTTAAATTTACTTTGGGATGTAGCCGGGTTGTTCGACCGTCGCGAAATACGCTACAACTTGTTTGCATATAAAATCATATTGCAAAATTGTGAATTCGTTTCTCAATATAACATTTTTTCTCCAATTATGGTTCAACCTTTTACTGTCATAAGTTTAATGTGTTCATGTAATCAAATTTTAAATTAACGAGAAATCCTGTGGTTTTCTCATTGCTTCATAAACTTATTTTTTATATGAAGGTTTTACAGCATTATTCGTTCAATTTGTGCATACTTCAATCTTTCGATTACATTTTACAGTAATGTATTTGAAGTCAGGTTGAGAAAAATTAAACCTTCAATTTTTTAGCAATTGATTTCCTTTTCAGTGCATTGGTCGGGGCGAATCGGGAAAAGATGGTTAGAAACTACGTTAAGGGGGTCATCCCGTGTGATCGGTTCAAAAAATGAATGTTTTTTTTTGCATGAATTGCATCGAAATATAGTGTTGAATATGTGGGTTAAGTGATTTTCCGATATTCGAAGTCGTTCGGAAGTTACAGCGTTGAACAGACCAGGTGGAGCATCGGACTCCATCTCTTGCGCTTCGGTTTCTTACCTGGGCCCTTAAAAAAATCATTTAGTAGTGAAAAAACAATGTGTAGGACATGTCGAGAAGAGAATGGGAACGTGACTCTGGAATGTTAAAAAAAATAATAAAGGAATTGGTGGAAAAGAGTCTGGAAAACTTACCGATAAGCTCATCAACTGGTCACAAAATTACGTACACAAAATAACAATGAATCATTGAATTCATTGATCTGGACTTTCGCTCCTAAACACCTGCATTCTGGCACAAAGATCGTTGAAATAGCAACTTTTCTTGCCGTTATTATCTTCAGTGAAGAATTTAATGGTATTTTGAAAGTTTTGGTTACAATGGGATGCCAAATTGGCCACGTAACTCCAGCTTACGCCGATCGCCGTAATGAAGCGCGTATCTGCCGCTCCGAACGACGCACGAGCGACTTTGCTAAAAGACCGAGAACTGATGCCAGGGAGCCACTACCGGCTTTGCAAGATTTTTTTGAGGAAACTGAAGGTTCACTTTATGAATCAGGCATATCAGATTAAGGGTGAATCGAAATTTTATTGGTGATAATCGTATTTGAACCTTTAAACGCGTTTTTCTCAAAACTACATTTTTCAAATCGGTAACCACGATATCTCGAAATCTATCGAACGAATTCCTTTGAAATTTGAATGACTTATTCAATACTCATGTAGACAGTGACATTTGTAACTCACATAGACACTCTAAATATCCCCCAAGTTTCAAGGTTTTTTTAATTTCTGGATTGAGGAACTTCCCTTGTGAGAACCGCCGTTGAATAGTCGAACTCGACATTTTTGGATGCGACATGCGAAGCTGTCAATGAGAACATTTCTTTCGCATAAAACTTTCCGCTCCGAGCGCTAGTTATACGTCGTGACATCCTGCGCTGTAGAAGATGCGCAGTGGGCGACTGGCAGAAACAGTCAGCTACACGACCATACTTATCGTGGCCCTTACACTCTAGGCTTTTGCCATTCCAGTTGCTAGTGGCGACTATGAGTCCCCTCTCGAGTGCCAAGGGGTGAAATTTTCCATTCGATGCAATACATGCATCGCGAAAACTCACAAAACTTGTAAATTTCGGGTTCTCTTGTTGTGTAGTACAATAGACATCTGATTTCTAAGAAATTGCTCATTAACCCTTTGCGGTCGTATGTCTACTCTCAGCCACCAAAATTCTCTTGATCTTGGGAAAATGCGACCGCAAAGGGTTAATAATGTCTTTATATTTTATGTGAAGTATGAAATTTTGATCGAGCCCGGCCCGGCACCCTGTGACACTTACGCTCGACGTTACCGGAATGGAGCTTCTGCCGTGATTTCCAAGGCACGGTGCAGTCACGACGCTTGCCCCTGCTTGCCGTTAACGCAGCACGGTCAACCCAGAATTTTTTTCAATGTACCATTCCCCCTCAAGGGGATATGGTCAAAATCATTATTAGAGGAAAGTATGTTTTTCTTTTAAATATTGTATCAGTATTTTGTTCACCGAGTTAGCACCTAAAACAACTTTTTCCAAAGAAATTTTCACCGAAACGAAATCTTGTAAGTTATTTAAGGTATGAATCAAATGGCAAGAAAACGCTATGATTATAGGTTGCACTTTTATAGCTATATTTTACAAAGTTCAGACATCGTCAGTGCGGTACTACCATTGTACATAATGCCAGTTATCTTACGTTTATTACTTAACAATTAACTTAAAGGCTATATTAAATTTGTGTTAATGCTATTCCAACAATTTCCAGCGACTCTTCGTACTCGTCCGCAATTTTAACGTGTGAAGTAATGTACTCTACGTACGTACTCTCGTTGTTCGATTACTAGCTGGTATTCGGAACACCCTTAAAAAATAACGCTTTCATATTTGCCACGTGACTGTAGGGCACTGTAATCTTCATAACAAAAAAAAATGTTCTTAGTCATTTCAATACGTAAGAAAACGTAAAATAAAATTTAGAGTATAAAACGAGTAAACGCACGGCAGTGCAAATTGCCTCGAATTTTTTTCTCCGTGTACCTTGCAACTCAACTAGAAAAGTCTTTTTTATCTTTTTTATTTAATCTTGTGGTAATAACAAATATTACTAAGACCCCAAACTGTGACTTATTTTCATTATATCCGTACGTGTAAATCTCTATTGAATGGAATTTTAAAATCTTCATGTAAATATGGTGCTGCAAAAATTAGAATCGAGAATTGTCCGTATTTCACCGAGACACAGAATTCACTACTTGTAGCACTATTTGTGAATTTTATTACATTGTATCACTGCAAGATGAACGCTTGCGTCAATTTTATGAGATGCGTGTACATATCGCGTTGTCTCAAATATTGAATCTTTCATTCTATTTTCGACCGATATAGCTGTAAGAAGTCGACAGCGCATTAATTATCAATCGTTGAATGTTTGAATATTCTTAACGTACACCCTAGCTACGTAGGTCACAAATGGTCAAATATATCTCTCTGATCACTGCAGTCTTAAGTTTTAGATACGATTACGAATCTATTGACGGTTTGTTCAAGAACTGAATCTACTATTGAGGGTTTGACCAGTCACTCCTAAAACTTCACAACCATCTGTACCATGTAGACTATACATCACATCACTGAATGCATGATCATCGGCATGAAAAGAAGCATCCGTATTCTGTGACTTATTTGTAAATGAAACCACAAGTTTCTTGGCGTTAGACTGTATCCTGGATCTTGATCTCGATCTTGACCTCTGCCGATTGAACATTTGGAGAGGATTCATCTGCAACACACGGTAGACAAATTATAACGATATATTAAATCAATTTTCTACTATGACTGTGTCATCAAGATATTCTATACAACATTATCGTTGTATGAAATTCGAAGAACATCCATACAAACGCCTCAAAAAAAAAAAAAAAAAAGATAAACTATTGCGACTACATATCGTATAAATAGGTTTATGATGTATATATGGGGGATACTACGGTTTCCGTGGCGCCAAGGTTTGACACTTGATTATCTCAATTAGTTTGGGAAACATTAATTATTTTCTTTAATTTTAGATATTTTAATTTTTTTTAACTATCTCCAATACTATGTGAGATACAATAAAATTATATATAACCTTTTCGATAGAAAATGTGATTCCCTATAAGAAAGGTGATATGCATTTTTATCGAATCTCGCATAACTTTTTTTTAGATATAATGGATTTAATTGAAAATGTCTATTGACACAACGATAATGCTAATGTTTTCGAAGAAATATGTAAGATACGAGTGAACAACATACTACATTTTTTGTAGGGAATTTAATTTTCTATAAAACTAATTGTATGTATTTTTTTTTGTATTTGTCGTAGTTGACGTAGCTTTAGAGATATTGCGAGTCGAAGAAACATGTGCCTTGCAAATTTAACAATCTTGATGCTTTTTTTTGGGGGGATACTACGGTTTCCGTGGCGCCAAGGTTTGACAATTATTTCTTATAAATTTTTGCATGGAACACATGAATTTAAATATAGAAAAAATAGTATTTTATTCTAATATATTATTTTTTATAAATAATTAATAGTTATTGATCCTGCAAAGTTTGGGGTCCAGGGAGCGAAGCCTCGATGGGGGTTAGGGGGCGCGGCCCCCCAGAAAAAAAATGTAGCAGTTTTCGTCAGAACTGTCAAAGTTCGGTCCGGCCGATTCTTTGGTTTCCACGCCCCCTAGGTTTCATGAATTATTGTCTAACGAATATAGTCATCTGGTGTGGTTTAGTTTAGTGGGGGGGAGGAGAGGGCTAGAGGCCGAAGCCCCCAGCCACGCATTTCTAGCCGATGACGGACAGGGATTATGAATTAGTTTCTAATATGATTTCTTCTCTTTGTTCACTTTCTGGTGTGTACTTACTACCGGGTATAAGAAATCGTTTTAATGACAATTGGAAAATAAATCAACCGGGACCCACAAATTTGAATTTAATTTGAATTTGATTTGAACAGGACGAATCGACGGGACTGAAACGTCATAGACCCCAATTCAAAGATGGCATCAAGATTGTCAAATTTGTAAAACACGCGTTCCTTTGAAATTCGACTTGCAATATCTCAAAAACTATAACAAATACAAAAGAAATACATGAAAGCAGTTTTGTGGAAAATTAAATTTCCTATAAAAAAGGTTGGATGTAGTTCACTCGTATCTTACGTATTTCTTCGAAAAAATTGACATGAACGGTCATGTCAGTCATTTTCAACTAAATCCTTTATATCTACAAAAAATTATGCAAGATACGATAAAAATACATATCATCTTTCTTATAGGGAATTACATTTTCTATCGAAAAGGTTAGATGAAATTTTATTGTATCTCGCACAGTATTCCAGATATTTAAAAAAAAAATTATAATATCTAAAATCAAAGAAAATAATGAATATCTCCCAAACTAATTGAGATATCAATTTTTTCTTTTAGATGATATTTGTTCATATCATACACAATTGTAATCAAGTGTCAAACCTTGGCGCCACGGAAACTATAGTTTTGCCGCACGGCACTGTTCATAATGTTCTGTTTATCAACTTACCCATCACAGGAAGTCTTATAAAAAAAATTCAAAATCGTCGGGATTTAGTTTCTACGAAGATATGCCCATTTAGCCAACCAAGCTAGCGACCATTTGGATGAAGATGGAATAAAACAATGCTCGATCACAAATTCGCCAGGTTATCACATTTGATCTTAGTAATGAGAATAATACTTGTAATCGTAACTTGCAATTCATGAAAAAATGGGCGGTTTTTTCACAGCAACCAAATCCTGCCAATTTTGAATCTTACATATGGCGCACAATGTATTAATTTGTTTCATATGCGATTATTACTTTGACCATTGCGGCCTATAAATGAATTCAACGGGTCTACTTTCATGACCGCGGTTTTTCTACGTATTGCTTTAACTGGCAAGCGGTAAGTAATGCGTTTACATATACTAATATATATTAAAAATGCGAACCTAATGAAAATAAAAATGATTACCATATTCTCGTTTTGCATGTTTTGCCTAAATGGCGATCGCCCTCTCGGTAGTTGTCGAAAGTTGTTCGTACTGATGCTGGCTTGACTTTGCGACAAGCTAAGAGATCGTCGACGACCGGGTGGATAATTTTCACCTAGTGCGCTTATGTAGTCAATATCGAAATCAGAATTTATTCGATTAGAACTGCAAGAATAAAAAAATAATTCACCTATAGCACAACTGCAAGAATGTTTATATTACATTGACGGTCGTGAGTCAACATGTGATATGAAAACTTGACAGAAAATATAATTTAAACGTTGTGACCGTCTAAAGTATAAACGTTAAAAGTACACTGATAATTACTATTATAAAGAAAAATTAATAAATGAAAAGTCATGCACACGGACATAGTGAAAGTTTTGAAGGTTAACTGGCGCTGAATTTAACATTATCATACTTCATCCTTAGGAGTTTCTGTTCATACTGTGCGCGTCTTTGTGCACGTGAGATTAGTTCAGAATGAAGTCCATCAGGGGCGAAACGACGCGGAGTCGTTAGCATTTGTTGCCGACGTTCCAAAGCACGTTTTTGAAGAGCCGTAAGTGATTTTCCCATAGGTGAGATCTGTGAAAAACAATGTATTTCAATAAGTTTCGTGGTACGTTTTTCCATTTTGTTTCACACACGAGAATCCATCGCATTAAGATGACATGAAAGGCGCTGAGAAATTTCATTTATACCCTTTTTTATAGTAATGTGTTACGTCCCGCGTAACGCTCCCTGCACGAGCATCCATAATAAATATATGCGCGCGCGTATATTCTCACGATCTCCTTTTACACAATAAACCAAGTCAAAAGAACCCCCATTTTTCTCTTTTTTCACCATCTACACCTCCACCGATAACGGTAAGACTCGCTGAGGGGCCCACCAAATTTCTATGCCCAATTCCTTTTGATTATAGAGAAGGCGCTGGGGCTAGGTCTCGCCGCCTTCCCTTCTGTATAAAAATCCTTTCCCAAGTCTCTCCAATTCCTTGATCGCAAGGCAGGCGCGGGGGCTAGGTCTCGCCTTCCCTTCTGTATACGAATTCCCTCTTTTCCCTCTTTTCCCTCTCCGTCTCCAGATGTAACAAATGCTATTCCGAATACTTAAGTGGTAACATAAGCTGGCGCGTCACGTTACCGACATTTATATTTATATTGAAATTCTTTATAGTCTACGTTTAGAATTGTATGAAATGAAGCGTTCCACGTGTCAGCTCGGTAAAGTAATGATCTCCTCAAAAGACACCTTAGGTGTGAAAAAAAACTTCGCTTCCTTTCTTGAATTGCAAAAATAATTCACACCGTTTTTTTTTTTTTAAATAACAAGTGGAAATAAACTATTTTTGCCAAATATGTTAGTACTTTCACTTTATTAAATTCTCAAATCAGATATTATTGCCAAATTATTGTACATTTTGTTCGACATAATACAAGTACATCTATTCTAAAAATAATATCACTTAAAATCAGGTGTCTATGAAAATGTACAGTTTTCTATTTTCATGTAACCAAATAAAACTTAAAACTAAATCTGATGAAATAAAAAAAATGAAAAACTCAATTTGAAAGCATTTTATTTGGTGAGCACTGAAATACTAACGAGAAGTCCAATGAGTACATTTCGGGTGCTCGCCAAATAAAATGATTTCAAATTCAGTTTTTCATTTTTTTTATTTCATCAGATTTAGTTTTAAGTTTTATTTGGTTAGATGAAAATAAAAGCATGTGTATACCACGTTGCAAGCGTTGATGCAAGTATTTTCCATATTTTCCCATCTGACTCCGTAATATTCCATTTCTACGGTATTCTAAATTGTTCGAGCTAGGTCCCGAAGCTCCTCATTTTCAATTCTAAGCCTCCAAGAAGGGTAAAACATCGAAAACGTGCACGAACCACCCCACGTTGGTTCTAGTCCATGATCAATACATTTTTGAGGAAAAATGAAATTTCGTGAGCTTTAGGACCTACTTTAGAGCCTCCACGTTCACGTGGTAAAATTTGAAATTTGAAACGAATCGGTACACCCAATTCAGAGAACACTTTCACCAACGTTTTAACTTCTCGGATATATATAAGCTGACTCTTTCATATCACTTTAAATAATTATAAATGATCTTTCCTGATATATTTCACCCTACCAGAGAAATGTTTTTTAATTGTTCAGATATACTTTCTAAGTATCACTAGTATTATTGAATCGATTAAGGGGAGCAAACCTTTTAGAATGAAAAAAAATCGATTTGAAAAGTGTAATATATTGAAAATATACTGGAAAGGGGAGAACTCGAAATATGAAATATTTCCGAAGTTATCGCACGTGGTCGAGAGCGCCGGGACCGCATACCGTGAGCTAGCGTGAAATCTGGTGCAAGTGGCAGCACCAGGCAATTGCTTTAAACGAACATCCAAATCTTAAAGATCTTACTCCGTTACTTGACGAAGAGATGAAACGGCATCTCCTACCAGGGACGATCTACTCGAAAGATGCTTGGGTAGCCATATCGAAAATGCTAACGAAAGTTTTAACGCGACGATTTTAATGCTTACTGGACCCTGTGCAACAAGGATACGGATGCATCCAAATCTATCTCATTCTGAAACAAGCTTGCTGTGCGTTCCAGTTTACTACATATTTCAGTGGTCGCGAATGATTTTTGCGCCATTTGCATAAAACATACATAGCTTAAAGCGATATGAAAGAGTTACACACAAAAGGGTGTCGAAAAATCCTGGACGATTTTTTTCTGTGATAACTAAGTGAAACACCGCTAATTAATCGCGTTCCCGAACAGGGGGGTGACACTGCCATGTATTGGGCTGAACCTTTTTCGCCAACTAAATTATTTGGCAGGCTATTCAGATTCATTTATTAAACGAAGGGATATTTTCGGAATTTAAAAAGTACTTGCAACGATTAAAACAGACGTTGCTTAAACTGACACACACAAATGTAAGAAAACGGTATATTAAACATAAAAGAAGTAACAAAAGTGTCAGTGGCGCAACGCCTGTTTTAAATCACTGGAAGAACTGAAATAATTATATTAAACATTAGTTAAAAGTAAAATATTTATTAAGATAAAAATATTAATTATTACGAATATATAAATATTTTTCGTTATACAAATTCTATACAAATTTAATTTTTGTTATAATTAGTTTCATGGATTAAATGCGATCTACAGATCGCATTTAAACCAGTTAACTGTGTCGACCTATTTGAAACGTGTGTTTTCACGACGAGTATACTCGTCAAACACAGCTAACTATAAAGGTATTATTTTTAAAATTTCTGAATGATTTCAATACAGAACTTAATTGAGAAGATTTCTTCGGTAACCCTTTTGCTACGACGGGTGGCTATAGTCACCCGCCACAAAACGCCACTTACACCCGACGGATGACTATAGTCACCGGCCACAAAATGCCACCTTCATAAGAACTGGAGCGCGCAATGGTTACACTTTTGGCGCGGCGCCCCGTTCTACGGAAGGGATTCCGCGGCGAAAGGATTAAAGTATTCATTTATATTTCTTTTTCCGTTTTCATTTATGTAATATTTAAGGTGATATGAAACAGTCAGCCTATATATATCTCAATGGTCAAATCGTTGGTGAAAGTGTTCTCTGAATTGGGTGTACCGATTCGTTTCAAATTTCAAATTTTACCACGTGAACGTGGAGGCTCTAAAGTAGGTCCTAAAGCTCACGAAATTTCATTTTTCTTCAAAAATGTATTGATCATGGACTAAAACCAACATGGGGTGGTTCGTGCACGTTTTCGATGTTTTACCCTTCTTGGAGGCTTAGAATCGAAAATGAAGAGTTGCAGGACCTAGCTCGAACAATTTATAATACTTCAGGAATGGAATATTACAGAGTCAGATGGGAAAATATGGAAAATACTTTCACCGATAATTGCAAGGCTTGTCTCGTAGCTAACACGTATCTTTAGAGCCAAAATATAGTTGCACCTAAATGTCACAGATGGCGACGTTGTTCCTAAACAGTCGTTAGAATAATGAATTCACGGGAGAGTTTGACATCGATTTCTTCATCATGTATATTTACTAAAATGACATATGGAACGCTTCAGTTCGTATAATTCTCAATGTAGACTGTAAAAGACTACCATGAATAGAAAAGGTCGGTAACGTGACGCGCCAGCTTATGTTACCACTTGAGTATTCAAAATGGCATTACCACCAAAAAGGGTTTAGATGAATTTTAATTTCGATTAAATTTCTCAGCGCTTTTCATATCATCTTAAATAAATAATTGGTATCCATGATGTGGCGCCTAGTTTACCATCTGGAGGTAGATGCCCCAAGTTCAAAGCGTGAAAAATGATAGCTGGAGCATTGAAAAAGTCCCTCCGCTATTCTGCCGGATTATTTATTTCTTCGTCAAGTCATTGGTGTCGAATTAATCAGTAGATATGTAAAATATGTCAGCGTCCTGTTTGTAATGATATTGTGTTTATTAGTGTATTACTGCCTCGGAATAATAAGTCTGTCGGTAACCCTTCCAGGCCAATTTGTGGATTATATCTCGTTAAAAATTGACCGTCTGACACGTTTCGTGAGTATCTAGGTTGTTCCAGGCCTAGTCTTTGCAGATAAATGTAATTCATTTGGCAGAATAGTAGTTGGGAATTTTACGTGATTTCCTTGACTCTGACGTTTAATTCAAAGTGGATGACTTGCCTTTACTGGGCCCTTAACATTGTCCCATACATACAGTAAGTATTATGTAAAAAAGAAAGTTTGTATGTGCAGAATTTACTGTTGATAGTTGTGACATAAAATTCGAAAAATGTTCATGGAAGCAACTTGACATTTTCAGACTGTATCCCTTAGGATGGTTATCTTTATACATTGTTTTGCTGTAAAAATGTAAATGCTGCAAAATACATATGTTTTACTTGACAGTATTGGCTATTACATAATAGAATGCTTACCCTAAATTCATTGGTTAGCGTCATCCGTTGATTCTCTCGTTGAAGAAGTAGTAACTTTGCACGTTTCACACGGTTCCGATAAGCAATCTGGGCCGGGCTTTGATAACCCAGGCGATTATACACAGAATTAGGATCTTTTAAACTTGAAAGACTGTTAATTCTCTTAAGAAAACTTCTGTTCTTCATAAATGAGCCTTTTCCTTGTTGTACCCCAAGGAATTTGAGATTAATTTGGTTTTTGCTTCGATATGTTCCAAATTTACCTCCGAAACCACGTCGAACGATATAACCACCCTTAGGAGCATTTTTCTGAATGTTACGATTTAGAGATAGATTACTTCGAGATCGTGTAAGGTTGCCAGGCTTGACGTATCGTTTCTTGATGAAGCCACTATGTACAACGGTTTGATAACGTTGATTACGCCAAGCAGGGCCCGAAGTCTGGTTTCCTATTTTAGTTCCACGGCCCTTAAAACCTTCATGACCTCGAGCACTGCCACTTCGAATTCTCTTTGCACCACCTTTTCCATTGGTAATCACTGGCTTGTTCTTTTTCTTCTTTTTCTCCATCTTTATGATTTCATCTAAAAAGAAAAACAATCACAAAGTTTAATGATCATACAGTCTCCGTAGTGACGTTCTTTTTCATAAAAAGGTTTTATACTAGATACATAAAAACTCCTTTGTCTTTACGATTTTTCAAAAACCATTGTCAAGGTATAATAACTAGTTTAAATCTAGATGTTTAATTGGCTCTTCAAAACAGTGTATACTATTCTTAAACAAAAGAACTTAATGGAGGTATCTTATTGTTTTGTTGTGATTAAAAATCCATTTAATTTTACAGAACATACCATAACACTAATTCAGATTAGTTCAATAACTAAAAATATTTATACTCTAAAACTTAGGGTAAAACGTAAACGTACTGCTTCTATTTTTACTGTTCAGATAATTACATGTTTTATTGCATTTTAATGGGTTTTGATTTTTCATCCATTGTCACATTGAAAGATATTTGTTACAGTTTATAAATAATAATAAATTAATTTATAAAATATTGCAGTTTTTCCAAATAAAATTTTAAGGCAAGAAAAGTAGGTAACCTTTTTTTTTAAGTTTTATACATCCAGGTAGGTTAACAAATTTCATATTTCGGAAATATAATTTATAGTATTTCAATAATATCGTCAGACAATATTTCTTCATAATTCTATTTAATCCTTTGCACTCGATGCCTTTGCCATCCAAGTTACCAATGATGACTAAGAATCGCTTCTCGATTGTATAGGGTTAAAAAATTCTCAACTTTAATGAAGTTACAATGTCTAATAGCTGACCAATTACACAGCACTGACATGTATTTGTTCGATACAAATGCCTAGTTGTTACCATAACATCTTTTTATATATGAAATAGTTCTTTTAACAATAAAGTAAATGGAAATTATTTTTAATAAAAATCACACATTTGTATTAAAATTGCTAAAATCAAGTGAATTATGAACATTTTAAATATCAACAACAAATTTTACATCTATTCATCCAATTTGTGATAGTCTTTTCTGTTTTTGATAAAAATAAAACTACTTTAATTGCTACAATAGATGTTTCAAAATACTCATTTTATTAAAATAATTGTAACTTATTTAATTCATATATCTCTTAAAATATCATGGTATTAGTACAGAATTTGTTACTTGATTCAAAGTGCAAATACACACATGTAACGATCCGGCGTACACATATTCATACTAATTAAATGACACTCAATGTCACAAATCTTTTCTTTTCACAATAAGTTTAAACTTTTCTATTAGATAATATAAGAAATATTTAACAGCCTCCACAGGGACACATTGGTGCATTAGACATAAATATGGCAATTATGCAATAGCAGATATATTATGACTTCGGTAAGCTGCAGTTCTTTTAAGAACCTGCTCATCTTACAATCTTATCATAATAGTGCATGCACAGTTAGTTCTAATGTCACCTCATTCTTGACAGTCGGTTCAAATAAAAGCCAAGTATGTATCAAACATTAGTTACGTCTATATTCTAAAGCCATTATCCAATTCCTACGGCTATGAAATTATTTCTCATCGCGCGTTCTTTCAATTCTTAGGATCAAGTTTAAAGTTTCACCATTGGTGTTATTCATTCACAGGCCAGTCGATTGTTTAAGGCCGGTAAAATTAATGTCCACGAGATCGGCGACGAATAGCGATTGTCAAAAATAATTTATATTAACGCAAAGACGTATCAAACATATTCATAGGATATCCTTTCAGATTCCATGATGTAAAAATAAAGTCTGTTATTCAAAGAGAAATACGAAAATGTATAAGCAAAAACCTTGCGAGCGTTGAAACCTTTTTACTTATAATAGTTTGCTACTTTTCTAATAAATCCAAAAACTCAATTTCCGCACTTAGATCGCAATGCCAAAATAGTGTTACATAGCGATCCAACAGCTATGAAATAAGCTGCATGACATAAAAACATTAGTTTCTCTAAGGGAACCAGTTGTTTTGATGCATGAACCACTGACACCGTCTAGTGGGGCGTCGTCAAGAATCGAATTTCACAAGTCCGCACAGGCTTCGGGTTTCATTCCAGAATCAATCTGTATCTGACCGATCCGCTCTTATATCGAATTGTTAAAAGCTCGGCCCTGCCAGACAGCAGTTTTTTAACAAGTTCATTTTACATCCAAAAGACCAAGCGATTCAACTGTCGCCATTTTCCCTTGCTTAAGGAAAAACCGCTGCTGTATGCTTATGGACGATAACCGGCAAGATTTTACGGATTTTACGGATTTTCGGGAACCAGTCCACTTACCGAGAGACATATTAACTTTCGCATCTATATCTGTCATTTTGATAGAGTTTTTCACTCGAAAAATATTTTCCGCCCGAACGACAAACCGAATTACAGAATTAACTGCACCACAAACACTCCAACCTGTACGAAACAAATCCGTGAACAATGATTGACAAAGGCCAACTCAGGCTAACTAAAGCAGTATGATCCTTTGACTATATAAGGATAGAGATGAGTTCGGAGATCCTCACGGGCAGGCTCGCTGATCGCATTCTGTGCTGCCCTCGCTAAAAATGCGGGCGGCTCGCGCACTGCTCCCTAATGGCGGCCTATTCAGGGATCCACCCCACCTCGCATAGCAGTGAAAGGGGTCAACTCGAATACCACATGGGTCACGTGTGCCTACGGCACTTGTACCCAATCAGCTTTAAGACCATATATTAATGTAGACCGCCTTGCAGTGGAAGGGGTAAACGAATGTACGGACACGAAGAAATTTCAATGAAATGGCGCCAACGATGACATTTGGTAATGGTAGTCTATGTTATTAAATAAGTTCATTATAAAACATCAGATCGGCAGTTTACTACAACATAGTAAAAACATTTTTTTGCTCTTTGCATGTAGATGATTACTTTATTAGTTTGTACCTTCATATTTCCTATCTTCCAAATTTCAAATTCGAAAATGGCGCCCCACGGAGACAACTAAATCCGCAATGACTCACCAAATGAACATTCGTACTCCCTGAAGTACCTTTTAAATGCGAAATTTAGTGTAAATATTGAGTAGAGAATTTGATCCGGCATGAAAAGTAGATGTTTTGAATATCACATGAAAAGAGGGGAAATTCAGAAGGAAACTTGGACTCGGCGGTCGTTTGACGCATCGTTTCCGCGACGTCAGTCGCTCGTGCCTTGAGCGAAGGGGAAAATGTCGGTGCGCTGGGGTCCGTCGTGCCACTAGTGAGTTTCACCTCGGCTCTCCGTTTGTCCCCAGCAGATTTTCCTCCGCATCAGGGCTAGGCGACCCTCCCGTAGATTTTAAGCGAAATTCCCGTAAGGAGGAGTGCTCGGGTGACGTTCGCGCTCAGGAGATTCGCGGATCCCTTCGGTGCGTGCCTCAAGAGCCAGGCAGTGTTTTGTGCGTTCATCGTACGTCCATTAAACCACAAACATGTCAGTTACGATCGGTTTGATGGGAAAGACGGAGTTCGTCGTCGGGGGCAAATACAGGCTCATGAGAAAGATCGGATCCGGATCGTTCGGCGACATTTACCTCGGCATCAACGTGTCTAACGGCGAGGTAAGGAATACCGTTCCGCAAGCTGGCCCCCGTTGCCTCTCCGACCTCCCACCACCCTCAGACTTTTGTCCCTATTATTCGCACACGATGTCCACAACAAACTGGCACTCTACCGCCGAGAGGCCCGTTATGAAACGGCACGACGCCACTTCTCTATTTAAGAGCGAGTCCTTGTAAAAGTCGCCTAACTCTTCCTCGCCTGTGGGCTGCTGGCTGCTAGCTGCTGGCTGCTAGCTGCTGGCTTATTGGCGTCAACGTGTATTGGACGGAATAGAGCAGCCTTTCTAGCGTGTTGCACAGTGAAATCACTGCATAAGATCGAGCAGTGCTTTGTAATGCTGTTCTTTTCTAATCTTACGTGTCCACAAGTTCATGAAGTTGGTTGAGAACTGACCAAGTAAACCGAATTGTGTCTTCTAACGAGTTCGAAATACAATATTTCTTTGTTCGTCAGGCTTGCAAAGAGCAAATATTTTGCTGTTAATGTGCTGACCGTCTAAACAAATTACAAACACCTTATAATACAATTAATGGTAGTTGGTGATTGTCAAGATTTTTGAAATGTTAAAAAATTGAATACGATAGGGCATTACTTTACTGTACAAGGATGATTTTGAAGATATAGCTAACTTCTTCGTTACTCTTTCTCGGGAGCAGAATTGAACTATAATGAACTCGCATACGAGAAGCGAACGACGTTACTTGGGCAGGTGGTGGAGATGATTTTTATCTTTTTACTTTTACCCGTAATGTATTTAATGATAGGCGACTATAGTTGCTGTTACTAGTGAAAAGGTTAATTGCTCGACATATCTGTTTCTATCCTTTTACCTGTACATGGTGAATGTCTTCGATCTCTTGCTACCTTATGAAAATATTTATGTATTCGAACTGTAGTCGTTGTTATCAATGAAAACATTGACAACCCGGTGGTCACCAGTGAATGGCGATCGCTTTATCCTGGAGACCACCGTGACGGTCGATGCGTTAACTGTTTCCGTGCTCTTACTTCTACATGGCGAATGTTTTTGATCTCTTGTTAATTTGTGAAAATCTTTCTGTATTTGAATTACCCCAAGAAAATTAATTTCAATTGTTTCAAAGCAAATAAACGTCATGAATTTTTAGTTCTTTTTAATTAGTTTATCTATTTTTGTGTTGCCAAGTAGAAGAAAATCAGCTTACTGAGTTTAACTCTGGAATCACTTGACTTAATGCTGTTTCATAATATTGCTGTTTTTTTTTTTGCAAGTGATTGTTCGTGTAGGTTGTACGATAGAATCATTTCATAAGGCGACATATTGCTTAAACGGTCTTCTATATTTTACTTCATTACTGGCAAGTCGTAAATTATCCATTTGCTGCTCACAGAGCCCTGAACAAATTTGTTCCCAATGGTGGAGAAAGCTGACTCGCTTTACAAAAATGTTTAGAAACTGTTTCAGCTTTCACTATTAACACTACCAATTGGAAGCCTATTAATTGGTTTTGTGATTCCATGATTGCCATTTACATCGAAATTCATTTGTCGATAAAGTGTTAAGATAACGTGTATTGTAAAACATAAGGGTATTTAATTTGTTTATTTTATCAATAATGAAAGACTTTCATAGTCTTATAACATAATTTGGAAAAAGAAGAATAGAAAATTCAATAATTTTTCTGTTTCCACCGTTTATTATGGTCCCTGGAATTTATATATAATTAGATATTTAACCCTTTAACTACGACGGCGTCCGACTCGAGAATGTACCACTTATATGAAGAGCTCAGCCACGGAGTGCTCAAATTTTATATGAATACGATATTCATTTGTCGCTTTGAATACATGGGAATGAAGAGGGCCACTATAGTGGCACTTCATAAAAAAATGTCAGGCGGGAGTCACATTAGCGGAGCTTTGTAAAATACATCGGTCATGCGGAAGTCACTATAATGGTGTTTCGTAATTAAAGGGTTAATTTAAAATTACAATGCCATTTTATCAATTTCTGGACCAGAATGTTTTAGTATTAACGATTAGAAATAATTTATTATTTACAATTAATAAAACTTAAATTATTACTTTGCAACCTCGGCGTAGTTGAGAAATGGTGTATTTAACAACATTCTTCACTTGTAACTAAACGCTGCTTTAGGAATACCGTTTATTCTTTATTTACTTAGATGTAATTACAGAACATCTTTGTTTTATGTTATTATGAAAGAGGCAAGTTACCAGTTATGAGGTATGTCTGTTATTTGATTTGGTCTAAACATTGAATGTGAAATTATTTGACGGAAAGTCAACTTTGATAAAGTGTATCCGTGACACATATCTTGGAAAGATTTATTTACGTTAAGATATAATACTTAGAAAAAGGTTTATAAATCCCTAAAATATTTATATACACAACAAAAACAATGTAAAGAATTTCATTAAATGAATTTTTTTAAACAGAATGAAAGTTATGACCGGTAGTCGGTTGTATAATATATAAAGAAAATGTCCCATCCACAAAGGGTCAATATTCCATAAAACATTAAGTGATTGTTTATCAAGGACTACTTAGCAGGTCTGTATCTTATTAAATAGAGAGAAGACACAGAGACAATTGTTTATTTGATTTCATACACTATTGCAGTCATGCACCTTTAATGTATGTGCACTAAGTTGAGGTTATCCAAAATACATATACTTCAAATACTAAAAAAGAGCAACCTGCCAAGTAGTACTTGATAAACAATCACTTAATGTTTTATGGAATATTAAAACGATATTAAAGACTCTGCGAAATGCAATCAACGTCAATAAAATAGAACCTATACCAAAAAGGAGTATTCCATATAACGTTTTCATACAAAAAGGACTGAAATCATATTACAAAGCCATGTATACAAATCGCAATTACATATCTACTTATTTTATCAGCGGAGATTGACATCATTTTAATGTGTTTGTATGCGAGCTTGAAAATGTTACTAGTCATTCGTATTCCAATTTATATTTACTTACGATCAATTGTCATTTAACCCTTTATGGACGCGTGTCTGTATAAAGTAGCTTAAAGGGCTTTACAAAAAAAAAAGTCGCGTCCACAAAGGGTTAATATTCAGTAAAACATTAAGTGACCATTTGTCAAGTACTATTTGGTGGGACCCTCTTTTTTTTTTTAGTATTTGAAGTATATGTATTAATCTCAGCGATAGTGCGCATACATTACAGATTCATGACTGCAACGTTATACTAAATCGAATAACCAATTGTCTCGGTGTCTCCTCTCTGTTTAATGAGATGAACAATCTTAATGTTTAACGGAATATTAACCCTTTGCGGGTGGAACTTTTTCCTTGTAAAGGGTTTTAGGCTACTTCCTGCAGACACGCGTCCGCAAAGGGTTAAATGATAATGAATCGTACGTAATTATAAATCGGAACACGAATGCATGGTAACATTTTCAAGCTCGCATATAAATACATTAAAACGATGTCAATCCCGACGAATAAAATAAGTAGATACGTAATCGTGATTCGTATACTTGTCTTTGTAACATGATTTAAGTACTTGTATGGAAATTTTATATGTAATACTCATTTTTGGTATAGGACGTTCACAGCATTCCTCTACTCAGCGAAGTATTTTTCTTGGGATTTCAGAAGTTTTTGTTTTTATAACATTAAGAGCAAATAGAGTCTGAAAGAGAGTAGGTTTTGAATTTGCATAGAACATACAGGGAAAATAAGTTTTATAATAACACAATATATAATTAGATGTAAAACCCATGGATGAGGAAACAATAAGAAAATTGCATTCCATCTTAATTATGATATGCTGGATTTTTCTAAATGATTGTAATATTGCTTCTTGAACTGCCTGTCGATGCTGACATCTATCCGCATTGTACTATGTGCCAAAGCGCTACTTAATCCACCAGTTTTAATTAAACTAATGACCTGTACGGTTTAATGATGGAAATCTAGAAAGAAAAAAAATTCATGTTATTATTGTACTTGACAAAATACTGACCTAAATTTGTGCAATATGTCTTGGATTCTTTTTCTATATTATATATAATTTTCATTTAGAGTATTAACGAATGAATGTAAAGCATTAAATGAAGTTTAAATAATATTTTACATTTATTTTTGTACGGAAATATTTAGGTAATAACAATTTCTAAGAAAAATACTTGTGTAAGGACAGGGATATTGTATGTTAGAAAAGTAAAACTATTCGATGGATAGATGTGTACTAAGCATAAATAATTTGCGTAACCTACCTTATAATAATATACTATATCTAATGTTATTCTTAAAGTCATTTCTTTCAGAAAGGATATAGGGTATGCATTCGGTGGAATCACAAGGAATATTAAAACTGTACGCAATCAATCATTATATATATATATATATATATAAGGATTTACAGAAAAAGGAAATAAGAAAACCATTGGAAATAGTATGCAGTGTATTATAATGCAGCCCATCGAATCACAGTATAGATGGATGCAGTCAATAATTGATATTTCTTAAATATTATTTTCTTATCCTTTTACATGTTTTTCCTAAAAATTAACTTATATGTTTGATATTTTATATTTATGATTGCTCTAATTAGAGCAATTCAAATATATAAGTTAATTTTTAAGATGAATGTGTAAAAGAATAGGAAAATAATATGTAAACAATGTCAAATTGTCCGATACATAAATCTATCCCCCAGAAAACAACTTTGGTGTAAAAATAAAAGACAAGTTTATTGGGTCATATTGATAAAAAAAACCAATAGTTTCATGTTTGACCTACAAAAGTAAAAAGCTCAGGTATCGGTGACAGGTTTAGGAGCAGTTTTAATCCGCAAACTGCCTACTAACGTAGTGAAATCAGTAACCGCATGACAAGTCCAAATTAAATTTCATGAAATAAAAATTATCAAAACTCTGAGAAGTCAATAGCGATAGTCAATCAAGTTCTGAAAAAGCCTGAAAAAATATAGCAAATTATATTCTTGCTGTCGAACA